AAATTAAACCCAATAAGGACTCAAGAGTATCGGCTCTATGAAATAAATTGGACGCATTCCATCAAGCAGACACAAAATGAAAACAAAAATGAAGTCAAATGGTTATTGAAAACAATTATTGTGACATAACATGCCAATCTTGGACTTTCAAGACTCATGATTGATTAAAGGGTTTCATACATGACCAATCTGAAAATTCAACATCTTTAACTTTTGTCTGCCCAAAAAATTTTTGTCGGTCAATCACATTAGTAAGGTACTTGCCACACAAAATTTCATAGAATTTCCTTTTTAAACATAACTATAGCATAATTTCAGTCATTTCAAATATATGTCAATGAGCCAACAAACATTTGCATCACATAGGGACAAAGACATGTCTGCCGTAGTATTCTTAATCCCAATTGTATACTGCAACAATGTAAAGTTAATAGACATATAACTAAACAATAAGATCATAAAAAGAAGATAAAGAAAGTACAAGCTCCAATCTCTAGTCATAAAGATCAAATTTTCAATATAATTTATCACCACACACACTATACACAAAGAACCTCATAACCTTTACTATGCTCCTTAACCAAATAAAAAAAATGTCTGCCTTTTCAAAATAAGCCAATTATCATCCATAGTCCTAAAGAACAAACAAATAGGTAACATACAGAGTAAACCTTAGCAAGAAACATAATATTTTATAAATGAAGAAGGTGAAACTTGCCTTGAAGAAAGAGATTCCTCGGACAATAGAGTCTTATGAACACCACCATAAGCCAATGGGTCCCAACCCATCGAAGAAAATATGATGCGACAACATGCAAGAGACATGATCCCACAATTCTGTTGAGTATGCTATAATTTGTAGTCTCTCTTCAGTTATGAATCAGCAAAAAATATTTGCTGAGAAAAAAATGAATATCGGATAACAAGAGAAGTTGAAGTTATGAACTTCAAGACAATCGGAAATAGAAACGATAATATTAGTTTGCTATTCTCACATTTGTGAAACCTCTAGTTCTGAAGCATCATTACTGAGTATTAAAAGACATAACTGTGATACCAAAAAA